ACATCTCCCTCACCCACTTCTCCGCTGTCCATCCCCCAGGGAGGAGGCCATATGTAGACCTTGTCCTCTGTTCCCCCTTTCTCCCTCACCTTCCCTCCATCCTCCCGCTATCGCCACTCTCTCCACTGGTCCTGGGGTGTTCCTCTGTCTCCTCAGTACATTATAAGGCAGTTTCTTTTTGCTATTTTTAAGATTATCTCATCTTCCCTCCATTTTATTATAATTTGTCTTTGTGTATATCTCTTTGAATATATCATACTTGGGGTCCTTCAAGCTTCTTAAATATGGTTTTCAGGACTGCTATGGGGCCAGAAAGAAAGGAAAGAAGGGAATGGAGGGAATTTACATTAAAAAGCCAAAAACTCTACAGCACTTACTGAGATTCAGCATTTTCCTTAAATAAAGGCTTCTCCAATTATTAAAGCCTTTGATCAATCCCCAAAGTTCTGAAAGAGTTAATTTTGAAAATTATTACTGGTGTTTTTTTCCTTTTCTGGAGAAGATCTGTGATTTATGGAGATCTCAGTTTGCTACTCTGGAAATCCGACCTCTGACATTATTGTCCTTTCTACTCTATTGTTTAGCATAATACAATGTGTGGAAAACACTGCCTTGTGTGCTCTGGGTTACTTTTGTACATTTGTCCAGTATCAGGTGGATATATTTATGTGGATTATTTCTGGAATTTCTTTCTGTTATATAGTGACTAGGTTATCCCCAAGACAATACTGCACTCTCTTAATTACTGAAGATTTATAAAGTCTCAAAATAAAACAGTGTGACTTCTTCAATTTTGTTCTTTAGCTACGTTATCTGACTATTTTCAAATGAATTTTAAAATCATTCTATCAATCAATTTCTGTAAAAAATCTTTGTTTTTGAAAAATCTTTCTTGAGAGTTTGATGGGGATTGAATTGAATATGGAACAATTTGAGAGAACTGACAATTTAACAATATTGAGTGTTCTGATCCATGAAGAGAGTATACATTCTCTATTTATTTTGATCCTCCTTAATTTATGTAAGCAATGTTTTGTGACTTTTGAGTGAGTAGATCTTATACATCTTGCATCATATTTACACTTAATTATTAATAAATTTTTGGTATCATGTATTTTGATGAGCTTTTAAATGCTATTTTAACAAACGTTTCAGTTTACAATTATACTTTGTATAATTGATTTTTCATATTAATATTGTGCCCTACAAGTGATAACCTTAGTAGTTCTTTTGAGATTCCATAGAATTTTCTACAAAGATTATATTTTCTCCAAATAAAGACATCTTATTTTTTCCTTTGTAATCTAAATAGCATTTACTTATTCTTCTTGTCTTAATGCACTTGATAGATCTGTACTATTGATATGAATAGAAGTAATTTAAACAGGCACCCTAGCTTTTTCCTTAATCGTATTACAAATTATGTTAACTATCAATTTTTCATTCCCCATACAAGCAAACTCACTGCCATTGGGTCAACTCCAGCTCGCAGAGCCCCTATGATACAGAGTAGCGCGCTCCCTGTGGGTTTCCAAGACAACTATTTGCTGGAGCAGGCAGCACCTGATGGTGTTATATTGGTAACCTTGTGGTTAGCTGCCTAATGACTAACCCACTGTGCCACCTTTATTGGGTTCACACATTTCTTTCCTTTTCCTAATTTGCTTGGAAAATTGAACAGGGATAGGGGTTGGATTTTTGTCATAATTTTCTGCATCTATTGAAATAATTATGTTGTTTTTCTTTTTAAATAAGTCAATATGTGGAAGTAGATTGGGGATTTTTGAATACTAACAGAACTTTGCATTTGTGGAGGGTGGTCTCCACTTTCTCATCATACATTGTATCGTTTTTTAATATAGACTTAAATTTTACTAAAATATGAAGAATGTTTGCATCTATGATAGGGCTTGCAGAATTCACAGAACGATTCCTACTGCCTTTTAATTCTATTATATATCTATGAATTCTATCATATTTTCCCACAAACTTTTTGAAGCCCATTTTATGGTCATGAGCAAGATTGGTTTATAATTTTCTCTATTTAAAATATCTTTCTCTAGCTTTGGTATCTGGGTAAATGCTGGCCTCATGGAGTTGGGAAAACTCATGAGTTGGGATGTATTCTTTCCTTTTAACGTAATGGGAAGATTTTATATAGAATTGGCTTTTTTCTTCTTCTGTAAACGTTAGTAAGCATGGTGTGGGGCCGGTGCCAGACCTGCTGTGCCATCGGTAGAGAGAAAGAGAATCTAGGTCCACATCTTCCCGAGAAGGATTGCTATGAGGCAGAGTTCAGCTATGTCTCTAGCCGCCATTCTTGTATGTCCTATTCTGACATCCTCTGTCCCTCTCACGAAGCTCTGGTGGGTTCAGTACTTTCTTACAATGACCACACAGAGCTCAGAGACCATGCTCATGACTAGGGGATGTACTAGCAATGATCGCAACTCTTCTCGGCCTTGCTGGTAGGCTTCTCTCTCACTGCTCTTCAGCCTCTCAGCCACACAAGCCTCCCCACTGATTGGACAAACCAAGGAGCCAAACGCCTGCCCAAATGTACTCAGTTTTACTTGTCCCATGGGCCAGGAAGCTCATCACTCTGTCTCATGCCACAGCTTCTGCTGCCTCTCTGCCTCTGCTGCCTCTCTGGCAGGGATCTTGGAGTCCCAGTGTCTATGCATGACTCTTCTTTTATCTCCCCTTCCCCAACCGTAGTTCTTGCTACAGGTCAGAAAAAGAAGAACAAAAAATTTTTTTATTGACAATCAGCGACCTTTAAATAATAGGGGATGGCAGACTAGGGCTGGCATCTGACTGCTTCCTCCCCGCCCCCTGCCCCCACCCTCGACCTCTTGGCCTTTAGGATCCCTCGCTCATCATTCTTTATTTCTTGATGGTTATGAGACTCCCTGTTACTACTTCTGACATAGATTATTTTTGATACCCAGTAGAACAGCACAACCAATCTTTCAGCACATCAGAGTTCCATGCACCTTGTTTGTGTGCTCCCACTCAATTATTTGGATACATCTTTTACATCCAATGCTCTGTCCTAGGCAGCACCCACTTCTGTGGACTGGCTGCTCTAATTGGGGTCATCGTCCTCAAGGCCTGCTCCAGTCTCTCCTTCTTCCCAATCATCTGCTCCCGTTGTGCTCCGATTAGATATGTCCCTCTCCCGGAGCTGGGGATTCAGTGCCATCCTTTGAAATAAATTCTTCTCGGGGGAGGGGCAAGCATCCACTTAGTATTTGGGACTGGGGCCAGCCCCCCAGACCGATGTAGCAATGACGAAAAATACAATTTTCCTCTAGTTCCTAAATGCTTCCTCCCCACCCCCACTAACATGATTCCAATTCTACCTTACAAGTCTGGCTAGACCAGAGGATGGATACTGGTACAGATAGGAACTAGAAATACAGGGAATCCAGGGTGATGATCCCTTCAGGACCAGTGGTGTGAGTGGCGATACTGGGAGGGTAGAGGGAGAGTGGGTTGGAAAGAGGGAACCGATTACAAAGAACTATATGTGACCTCCTCCTTGGGGGACGGACAACAGAAAAGTGGGTGAAGGGAGATGTCAGACAGGGCAAGATATGACAAAATAATAATTTATAAATTATCAAGGGCTCATGAAGGGGGGGGGGGAGGGGGAGGGAGGGGAAAAATGAGAACCTGATGCCAAGGGCTTAAATGGAGAGCAAATGTTTTGAGAATGACAAGGGCAATGAATGTACAAATGTGCTTTACACAATTGATGTATATATGGATTGTGATAAGAGTTGTACGAGCCCCTAACAAAATGATTAAAAAAACCAAACAAACACTGGGTCTTACTTATGCTTCTTGTATACAATTTGATAGCCTGAAATCTCCCTCCAGTGAGTAGATTGGGACTTCTCATCCTTATTCCCTGTCAAGTTCAGTTCTCTATTCTCCTGCCCCGATATTCCGTGTCTTAAAACATTATTATTTCATATACCTTGTTAATGTTTTGTGTTTGTTTAAGTGGGCACAGTTCATCGATTCCATCTTAAACCAAAGCCGGAGTCTCTCTTCTGATATTATTCTCATCTTTTTTATTCTGAAGCATAAGAGGTGAGAAAAGTTAAAATAACTTACCTAAAAGTTGCACAGGTAATAAGTGACATAGGTAGACCAAAACATAAATTGGCCAGGCACTTAGAACAATGTTTTTAATTGGTAGGTTCTAAACGTTCCTGTATGATATGAACTGATGCCTTTATCATTGAGAGTTACAATAAGGTATCACATTAATAAATGACAATTATTTTTTATGGAAACTGCTTTCCTTCTTTCCTTTTTAAAGATCAATGCCACGAATCTGAAGACCAAGTAGTTTCAATTTTTGCCGCAAATGAAATTTTTGCTCGTTTGTGTAATGCACGGCTTAAAGACAAAAACACTACGATTTGGTATAAAAATGACAGCAAGACACGTGTATCCATGGAAGTAGACTCAAGGATTCATCAGTTTGAAGATAAACTTTGGTTTGTTCCTGGTAAGGTAGAGGACTCAGGACAGTACTATTGTATAGAAAGGTAAGAAATGAATTAATATGATGCCAATCAAAAAAGGTCTTGCTACAAGAGTTCTAATTCATGATGCATGCAGGGTTTATTCCCAACAAAATGTGTCCGTCTAATCAGTGAATGACTGCAGACGAGTTATCTTAGTGCCAGCATGATCTGAGTCCCCGTTAGGTGCCTTGATGTAAAGATCCAAGATCCAGACCACAGTTTCCAAGGGGGCTCTGTGGCTCAGGTAAAGCGGAGGTAGAGATGCCAGCCAGAAGGTTGTGCTGTTGTGAGGACCCCAAAGGGAGAATCGTCATCTAGTTCCTCGAAGAGCACAGGACAATTACTGGGCTTATTATGAAGCAGCGTTTTTAAAACATTAAATAGTGCCTCGGAGAAAAAAAGGTCAGGGAAGTTTTGCTGAGGAATTTTTCCCCCCATCATGACAATGTACTTACTTTTTCTTGGAGGATAACAATCCTAAGATAATTTTACTGGGAAATCTTACTTCATTTACCTTGATTTTGCGTCCTCAGATTGCTTCTTGTTCCCCAAACTCAACAGACACTCAGAAGGATGAAACACGTGTCTGTCAAGGGTACCAGAATTGTCATTTTGATGTCATGTAAATTGAAGAGGGCAGAATTGTATTATATGTGATATAATACATATATATAATATAATATATATATTATACGCCCACGAAACTAAAAAAAAGAAGAAGAGGGCAGAATTCTTCAGGGAAAGATTGGAGAGATGAAAATATCCCATTCGGAAGTGTAGATAGACCTAAGTGGAAGGGATGTCTAGAAAGAGTAGCTTTACCCATTGGTTTTTAATCAAAGTTTCTCTGGTTTTGTAGCAGTACTTTCTGACTTATTCTTATGTATCAGTAAAAAAGTCTTCTGGATATTTGAAGGGCAAAGCTTGTTATCTTTTGACAACGTTAAATGCACGTATTTCCTTTTATTTTAGAAATTCAACTTATTGCCTCAAACAAAAAATAACTGTGAAATTTGTGAAGAATGAACCTAACTTGTGTTATAACTCAGAGGCTCTGTTTCCACAGAGATTATTCATTGGGCAAAATGGACTGCTTGCATGCCCTACACTGGATTTATTTAAAGATGAAAACAATGAGTTCCCCAGAATACAGTGGTATAAGGTAATTTTATTTCAAGTGTAGTATTTTTTTTTTTTGACAGCCGCGCAAGCGTGCTACCGGTCTCCTCCGCCCTCCACCCAGCACCGCAAGTGTAGTATTTCATATTTCCAACAAATAAAGGAGTTTTCTATTATGAACAATAGAATGAATTTGCAAAATGATTTTTTTTATTGTACACTGTATTTTCCTCCCCCATATGAGTGGTGGATCTTATTGGGAAATTTAAAAAGAAATGTCAGACTGCATTAATTTAATTTGAGGATTAACTAAAACCTTGTTCTCTCTTTGATTTATCAAGATCCAACAGACAAATAGTAGTAGAAACAGATGACATTTTTAGGGTATTTTAGAGATATTTATTAAGAATGTTTTTTTTGTGTGTTAATGACATTAAGTGGTCCTCAAATAATTTAGTAATTTCTGTAATTGCCTCAAACGTGAGTTGATTAGCATTCTATGTTTTGGTATCTTTCATCCGATGGCCCACTAGACTTTGAATGGTGACTCAGCTTCCGGAAGATGAGATGTATAAAATTAATAAAAGCAGTGAATAAGGAAAGTACATTATTGCTAAGAGATGCCCTCAAACATGTTTTTCTTGTGTTAGCTTGTCTTCATAGCACTAGATTCATAGGCTTAAAATGTAATACCCTAATAATATAATTTTTATCAAGAAAAAGAAATACAATGATTGAACATTTATTTATGCCAAGAAACTTTCAGTCACCTTATTTTATATATAACAAATGCTAATGTGAAATAATGGCTTTGTTTTCTGGTCTACACTAACTGTTACTCATTATTTCCCAATGCTTCCTCCTTCTTTCATGTAGGATTGCAAGCCGTTATTTCTTGACAACATAAGACATATTGGAGAAGCAGATAAACTCTTCATTATGAATGTCACGAAAGAACACAAAGGGAGATATTCTTGCCGTACATCATACGTGTACTTGGGAAAGCAGCATCATATTTCCCGTGTAATAGATCTCACTCCTGCAAGTGAGTCATAGCTCCAAGCCTAGGTGTTATGTTAGATCTGGAAAGGCCCACATGCCATAATTTTCATATCGTCTCTGTGACCTGTAGAGTCTTGCTGGTGTAATGCCAAGTCAGCAGGGTGAAACTACCGGCCACTCCATTGGAAAAGCTGAGGCTCTCTACTCCCTTAAAGAGTTATGGTCTCAGAAACCCGCGGGGCCAGTTCTACCCTGTCCCGTAGTTACGAGTTAGAATCCACTCTATGAGCATGCATTTGGTTTCAAGTTGGTTCATTATGTGTGATCCTAAAATAACTTCAATGCTTTGTCAAAGTTCACATGGCAAGTTTAGTTTAGCTTTGGTTTTGTATGTTTTTTAATTGCTAAATAGTATGCTTCCCCCGCCCCATTCTTGCTTTAAATACATTTATAATGAAACAGACTTTATGAACTGTGGCTTCCAGAGGTGTTTATCGGGCTCCTGCAGGCTAGTGTAGGAGTCGTTCTGGGCTATTGTACTGGAGGAGTCTGAGTGTTTGGCACCAGCGATCCTTGGCATGATGGGGCGGATAGTGATGGACTTGGGAGCAAGGTGCACTCCCAGAAAATGCTCCCCGTGAACTCTGTGAGCTCAGGCAAGTTACACAATCTCTAACGATCGACAAGCAAAAGACCAGTAGACTTCAGAAGGTTGCCAGGAACATTGCGGTTAGGTGCTTGTTGGGTTGAGTGCAACCTCGCAGGGCCCCAGAGGACAGCGTAAAAATGTCCCTCTACATTAGAGGGAATGTTGGATGTACAACTGCGCTTTACACAATTGATGTGTGTATGGATTGTGATAAGAGTTGTATGAGCCTCTAATAAAATGATTTTTAAAAATTAAAAAAATAAAACGTCCCTCTAAGAGAGCAGATCACCACATCTCCTCTCTTGCGGAGAAACTGGGGGGTTCGAGCCACTGATCTTTTGGTTAGCAGCCGATCATGTAACCATTGCTCCTAGTGCTCAGCTATGATAAACTCACGGTAAGTTGTGAGGGAAAAAATAAAAAAGCCCCAAACTAGACGTATTTGCCATCAAGTGGAATCATAGTGACTTGACATGACATGACAGACAAAGCTGCTCCGTGGGGTTTGCTTGGCTGCAATCTTCACCAAAGCACATCCATGGGTTGTTCCTTTTTGGTCCCCACTGGTTCTGTACAAACCGTCAGCCTTTAGGTTAGTGGCCCAGCGTAGTTTGAACCACCGACTTTTGGCCAGCAGTTCAGGGAGGACAATTTGAGCCACTCAAGGATCTTGCAAAGTCTGAGCTCACTAGGTAGGAGGTAGGTGGTGGTTCTCATGAATTTCCATAGGTTTCCAATGACCTCTGAACCACTAACCATTTTCAGTCAAGGCCATTTCGAAACTAAACAGAGGACAACAAATTCAGATGTGTCCCTACAAATTATGTGTGGATGCCTAGAATGCTACCTTTCTGTAAATATCAGGACTTTATAAGGTTTCAGTGTTATAGGCTCTGAGGGCTATTCTAACAAAGGTTTTTTTGTTTTTGATTTTTAAGTTAAAGGATTCTTTAATAATAATTATGCTGGGACAACAGGTATGAATTGAAACTGTTCCAGGCTAACTTGTTATATATGCTTACATAGAACTACAGTTCCCAATTATATAGCAATTTACCTTCTTGCAGATTTCCCTTTTGTTAAATGAAAAATAATTCCTACCCTTGGTCCAACAAGAATCAGAGACACCTGATTGATAATGATCTTTGTACTACGATCATCTCTCTCTGGTCATTGTGGAGCTCTGATTTGTGGGGTTTTTTGGGAACAGAGAGTACACCAGCAGACACTAGGGGAACTGGGCACTTGGAAATTGAAAAAATACATAAAATGTGATTTTAAATTCCGTTTGTCTCCTTTTCTGATTCTATATGCAGAAACAAGGGTCAGTTGGGTTTCTTGCTCTTCCCAAGGTCCCCCAGTGATGCTTTTTGTTGGTCCCTGTAGTCAAACATATTTCCTGAGCATGAACTCTGTATGCACCAGACACTGTTTTAGAGATGTATGTGCATTAGAAGACAAAAGTAAGAAAATCCTGCCCTGATGGTGCCTTCTCTCTTCTCCTTTGCTGCCTCCTCCTCTTTTTTTTTTCTTACCGTGGTAAATAGAGGCCCTTTTTGGTCATGGAGGAAGCCATGAGGTCATTCTCCTTGTAAATAAAAGCCAGATTCATTAGGGGGATTTATTAATACTCTTGTGCCTGTTTTAATCCATTGCAATTTCCCCACATCAACTGACTAGTATCACTGTTTCTTCGTGCTGCTGTAAAAGACATATCATAAGTGCCTGGTTTTAAGACCAGCATCATCATCATCATCTTCTTTTTTCCTTCACAATTTAGGAGAACAGATGTTTAAATCCCTGGCCCTAATTCTTAGAGATGAGTCTCTGTGCCCTGTGGGGAAGACCCTCTCTCAGCTTCTGTAATCTTGGCCCTTGATCATTCTTACATTTATTTGGGTCTTTCCAATTTGTTTTCCAGTTCTGTTTTCTTTTGTTTTTTTCCTAGTCTCTTCCTGATCAACTCTTGTAATATATTAAATGTGATTCGTTTTAAGGCATATTCTTCCCTGATAGGGCGAGCCTCATATCCATTACAAAGAACATTCTGTCCCAAACCAGGTGGAAGTGGTAGTGATAGAGGCTTAGGATGCCACCACCTGCTTTGGTGTCTTTTCATGATTACTTGCTTCTCCTCGTTCCCTTGAAGAGGGCCGTTTGTTTGGAGACCGGAGTCTTGGAGGGAAGTTCAAATGCATGTGGTTTTTGGTAGCATCACGCTTCCATGGCTTCTTCTCTGAGGCAGGGGACTCACAGCTTGTTCTGATCTCTGTATTGGCATCCTTTCTTTGTCTCTGGCCTCCATCTCCTGTCCCATATACGTTAAGGGAATGCCTGGAAGATGTCCTTTAGTATACTTGGCTAAATGTGGTCGCCATTTGTGATTTTTATATGTAAGTGACTTAGAAGTCCCTGTGAATGTTTTTTTTTTAAAGAGAAAACTGCCAACCAACACCGCGAGCCTGTAATTATGAAGCCAGCTAATGAGACGCTGGAAGTGGAACTGGGTAAGTGGTCTCTTATCATGATGTGATGAAATCAGTATTTTAAACTCAAAATCAACATAAACTGTACCATTACTACACACACCACAACAAAAAATAACACACTCCACGCCTTGGAGTTCACTCTCCTCACAGTGTACCTTCTCTGTCCAGTTAGAGGTGTCTTCTGCAGGGTTTTCAAGGGCTGATATTTTAAGAAGTGGATCACCAGGCCTTTCTTCGAAGAGGCCCTTGGCCGGACCTTTTTGTTATCAGCTGAACATTTTTACGCATTTGTACCACCTAGGGATTCCTTATCATACATTGCCTAAGCACTTTCTAAATAGATCTCTAATTAGAGGAGACATGGAACAGATTGTGTTACAGATTACGTCCAATTATTTGTTTGTTTACCCCTTGTGGCAAATGTATTATAGCAATGTATTCTTTGTTGACTCTACTCTGTTATGGACAGTTACAAATGATGAAAATACCACTCAACATGCAAAGCTCAGCGGAATTGTGAGTGATGAATGTAGTTCATGTTACGGGCAGACACAGAATGGATTTTTTCTTGCCAGAGCTAAGCTTTAAGGTAGTACAAGGACTCTGCAGTTAAAAAAAAGTGACAGTTAGTGTAGAGAAATACTTTTTCAAATTCGTGAAAAAAATTATCTCTAGGGGAAAAGAATCCTATAAGCCTCTAGCTCTGTACTGTCCAGCCAGGAGCCAGATAAGCACACCGAGTGATGTACGTGTCCATTACAATACTATAACTTCAGAAGTTAACTTTTCAGTCACGCCGACTATATTAGAGGGCACAGATCTAGAACCTTACCATGATGGCAGAAAGTTCTATTGGGCAGCACTGGCCCAGATGTAAAAACAAAGTCTTATGTCAGGAGATCAAAGAGCAGGCTTGCTTTGCATTCTCTTTTGTAATAATAACTGTTTGATGAGAACGAACACTTGTACATAGCTTTGAAGAGGAAAATAATGATAGGTCAAAAGGGCTATGAAATAAAAGTTAGATATTAAAATTAAAGAAAAGGCAGGAGACAAAAGTATTAGACATAAAACTGGAAAAAAAAATCATGCTAGAGTAAGAAGAAGAAGAGCTGTTCATGTATGTTGGGCTCTCCGCTTGCCCAGGAGCTTTGTCTCCGGTGTGGGTGGTAGTTGGTGGGTGGATGATGTGTTGAGGTACTAGAAAACAAAGTAAATTGAAAGCAACATAGTAAAAGAATAATCCTTTTTTTCCCCAGCTCTTATGTCTACCAACAGATGGGGAAGTCCTACTGAAGGAAGTCCTACTGAAGGATGTAGTATAAGAGTGGTGCACAGCTGTGTTTTGGAGAGGAGGAGGGCAGAGGAATGACAGAGCACAGAGCAGCAACAATATCAAGAAAAGAACAGATGGGGTCTAGACCTCGTCCTGGAGTGGGGGGGGGGGGGGGGGGGGGACAGGACTGTGTGGAGCGGAGGTCTTTTGAGCATTTGGGACAGTGTATGGTAGCATGTGGTTTTTCTACCTTGTGATCTTTTTGGATGTCTGGGTAGGGAAATGATTTTGGTGTCTGGTATGGCTCAGAGTCCTGTCATCTTATGATGTAGGTGAATTCTCTTAAAGGAATGGAGCTCTGGTGGATCAGGTTAGAGGGGATAGGGTTCACTCCTATTGGATGATGGAGGTGACCAAGTGAGGGTGGCAGAATGGGGTCTGTGCCTGCCACCTAGCTAGGTGGTCTGGGAGGGAGCAATGAATGAATAGTCTATTCATAGGGGAGGCTGCTTATCTGAGCAGCTTAGGGTGCTGAGGTTCTTGGTCTTTTTCTCATGCCCAAACTCCCTGCCTGTGCTTCATAAAACCACTGGTGCAGTTTCTACTTGTATTGTTATGTTAATACATTGCTAATGAGCCAGGTGTGTATTGTCTGCTAACAAAAGACATTAAAAGAAAAATAAAAGCCCACAAATGGCCTTACTTAAAGGCTTGAAGGTAAACAAGGGGCCATCTAGCCCAAAAGCAACAAAGCTCACATGGAGGAAGCACACTGGCCTGTGTGATCAGGAGGGGTCAAAGGGCCCAGGTATCAAGCACCAAAGAACAAAAAATCATATCATTGTGAATGAGGGGGAGTGCAGGGTGGGGACCCAATGCCCATCTGTAGACAACTGGACATCCTTGCAGAGGGGCAGTGGGAAGGAGACGAGTCACTCAGGGTGCAGTGTAGCATCTGTGAAATACACAACTTTCCTCTAGTTCTTAAATGCTTCGTTCCCCCCCACACTATCATGATTCCAATTCTATCTTACAAACCTGGCTAGACCAGAGGATGTACAGTGGTGCAGATAGCAACTGGAAAGACAGGGAATACAGGGCAGATGAACCCCTCAGGACCAGTGGTCAGAGTGGTGATACTGGGAGGGTGGAGGGAAGGTGGGGTAGAAACGGGAACCAATTACAAGGAACTACATATAACCTCCTCCCTGGGGGATGGACAACAGAAAAGTGGGTGAAGAGAGACATCAGGCAGTGTAAGATATGATAAAATGATAATAATTTATAAATTATCAAGGGTTCATGAGGAAGGGGTGAGTGGGGAGGGAAAAAATGAAAAATGAGGAGCTGATTTCAAGAGCCCAAGTGGAAAGCAAATGTTTTGAGAATGATGAGGCAACGAATGTACAAGTGTGCTTTACACAATTGATGTATGTATGGATTGTGATAAGAGTTGTATGAGCCCTCAATAAAATGATATATATAAAAAAAGATGGAGGTGAGGGGTGCGGGGATCATGGGGAGCTGTTCCTCAGGGATAGGGGATTAGTTTTGCAGAATGGGGCTGGGGCTGGAGCTCCCCCCACCCCTAACTTGTGTGGAGAGATAATTTATTCATGCCTGCTATTTATGCCTGCTCCCAGGCTGCCCTGTAGAGTTTTCCCCACTTGGCTTGGAAGACTATTCATTATATCCTTGCTATCGGGGAGCTAAGGCTGTAAGTGTATCAGACAGGAACTCCCTTGGCTTGGGGCAAGAGCCTAGCCTATTTGTGCTGATATCCATCCAGGCTGGTCACGCAGCCAGTCAGTCAGCCAATCTATCTAGCTCTGGGACCAGGAAAAATTGGTTGGAAAATTGGGAAGTTGCATTCCACTGACAAAGGGGAAGACTATTGGCAGGTGTTGCTGCTCTTTTACTTTAATAAATTTGTGTCTACTTCTCTTTAGGCTGAGAATCTTGTAGTCTGTGTAGATATCAGTCTGGTCCCTCTAAGCTTGTCTCTGCAGGGTCCCCCCCCCCACCATGTGTGCCACTTGGTTGCCATCTTGCTCCACCTCTATCACTCACAGTCTTCATAGTGAAGCACAAGAGAGGCATTCCCATTGAATCCCAGAGTTAGACAAGGGTGATCATATATCCAGAATCACCTCATATGCTACTGACTTGTCCATCCACCACGTTTCTGTCACTCTATCCCTTTGCAGTGGCTTGCGGGCTGTTCTGATGTGGGAAGCTATGTCACTGGCATTTCAAATAGGAGCATGGACCCTGAATATGAGCAGGTTTCCATAGAGCTTCCAGACCAAGAACAAACTACAAAGAAGGAAGAGGGTATCCACTTCTAAAGAATTAGCCTTAGAAAACCTTAAGGACAGCAGCAAAATATTGTTAGATATGGAAAACCTTATGAATAGAGGTAGCACATTGTCAGAGATAGTGCCTGAAGATAAGCCCGTCGGGTCAAAAGGCAAACAAAATATGACTGAGAAAGAGCTGTCTCCTCAAAGTAGAGTTAACGATAATGATGCAGGTGGAGTAAAGCCTTTGGGACTTCATTTGCTGATAGGGCATGACTCAAAATCAGAAAAAAAAACATTGTAGACATCAATGAAAAATCAGAGGTTGAAATGTGCGAAGTATGAATCGAATAAAATTGGAAGTTTTAAAAAATGAAACGGAATGCATAAAGATCAAAATTCTAGGCATTAGTGAGTTGAAGTGGACTCATGTTGACCAGGTTGAATCAGAAAAATCAAATGAATTACTATGCTGGGCATGGCAGATTCAAAAGGAATGTCATTGCATTTGTTAGCAAAAAGGCTATTTCCAGATCTATATTGAAAGTACAATGCTGTTTGTGATAGGAGACTATCTATTCACATACAACAAGATCCAATCATTGTAATGATTATTCAAATTTATGCACCAACCACCAAAGCTAGTGATGAAGAAACTGAAGAATTCTACCAACGTCTCCATTCTGAAACTGGTCAAAGATGCAATCAAGATGCATTGAAAATTATCGATGATTGGCGTGCAAAATTGGAAATAAAAAGAAAATGACCAGTCTTGGTGATGGAGAAAAGGCCGGTAATTGCATGATAGAATTCTACAAGACCATTGACTTGTTCATAGCAAATACCTTCTTTCACCAACATAAAAGGTGACTCTACATACAGACAACTCCAGATGAAATACACAGAAATCAAATTGATTATGTCTGTGGGAAAAGATGTTGGGGGCACTCAATATCAGCCACTAAAACCAGACCGGGACCAGGTTCTGAATGGCAAGGACATTTCAAAAACAGATTTGTTGTATTGAACACTAATGACAGAAGATCTGATGAAGCATGGATTTCAACTCAATGTGAAGAACACAAAAATCTTCCCAACTGGATCAACTGGATCCATCCTGTTAAATGGAGAAAAGATTGAAGTTGTTAAGGATCTTGTCTTGCTCGGGTCCACAATCCATGAATACAGATGCGGCAGTGGAGGAGCCAAAGAATGCATTACATTGGGTAAAGCTGCTGCGTGGGACCCCTTTAAAGTAATGAAAAACAAGGATGTTGCTGGAGGACCACAGTGTGACTGACCCAAACCATGGTATTTGCCATTGCCTCTTGTGCATGTGAAAGTTGGACATGGAGTCAGAAGACCAAAGAAGCATTGTCGTGTTTGAATTGTGGGGCTGGCACATAATGCTGAAAGTACCGTGGACTGCCAAGAGAAGATGACAATGGAAAATGAACCACATGATCAAGCAAATTTAAGTACTCAAGAGACTCAACCCTAAGGATGTAAGCAGAGACAAATTTTCATTGCAGTATGATTCAAAATGACAAAAAGGTAGAAACAGTGTATATGTCCATTGGCAGATGAATGTATGGACAAAATGAAGTATATGCATGCAATGGAATAGAAGAAATGATGTTCTGATACATATTATGACCTAGATAAATCCTGAAAACATCATACGAAATGAAATAAATCGAGATACAAAAGTACCATTATTGTATGTTCTCACTTCTATGGAATTTCTAGCAAATACAAAGGGGCAAACGTTTATTAATGATTACCGGTGAATGAAAGAAGATAGCAATAAAGAGCTACTACTTAAGGGATACTGAGGTTTCTTTTTTAGAGTGATGAAATCTTTTGAAAATCGTTGATAAAACTTTTAAAAATAGCTGATGGCTGATACAATATGGTGAATGATTAATGTCACTGACTTGTACATTTTAAATGGTTAAAATTGGCAAAATGTTGTTATGTGTATTTTACCATATAATTTTATTAAATTGATTGACAGGATCCTACACACAATTGATCTGCAATGTCACTGGCCTGGCTAATGCATACTGGAGCTGGAATGGATCAAACATTGATGAAAATGATACAGCGTTAGTAGAAGACTTTATTACGTAAGTATGCCTACAGCCAGTCACGCAATAGAAACATTGTGATACTAAGTTCAATGTAATAACTTTGGTGGTTTAATTTATAACAAGTGCTCATTACCAATTGATTAGTCCTAACTTTCATGCAGGATTTATAAAATTGTGTATATTCAAGGTAAAACTACATGTGAATGACGGGGGGAGTGCGGAGTGGCGACCCAAAGCCCATTTGTAGGCCACTGGAGATCCCCTTGCAGAGGGGTGTCGGGGAGGAGACGAGCCAGTCAGGGTGTGATGTAGCAACGATGAAAAATACAACTTTCCTCTAGTTCCCCAACCCCACAACTATCATGATCCGATTTCTCCACTGGTACAGATAGGAACTGGAAGCACAGGGAATCCAGGGCGGATGAGCCCTTCAGGACCAGTGGTGTGAGTGGTGATACTGGGAGGGTAGAGGGAGGGTGGCTTGGAAAGGGGGAACCGATTACAAGGATCTATATGTGACCTCCTCCTTAGGGGACGGACAATAGAAAAGTGGGTGAAGGGAGACGTTGGACAGTGTAAGATATGACAAAATAATAATTTATAAATTATCAAGTGTTCATGAGGGAGGGGGGAGCGGAGAGGGAGGGGAAAAATGAGGACCTAATGCCAGGGGCTTAAGTGGAGAGCAAATGTTTTGAGAATGATGAGGGCAATGAATGTACAAATGTGCTTTACACAATTGATGTATGTATTGATTGTGATAAGAGTCGTATGAGCCCCTAATAAAACTATTTAAAAAAAGGATCTACTTCAGCATATTGTTAGAAGCTCAAAAAACAAAACAAAACAAAAAAACAACCCCCTAAAACTACATGTCATTGTGGTGCAAATTCCAGACCACTGGAAGATTTGTTTTTCAACATATTCTTATATATGATTGAGTTAAAAATTGTTACTACTATGGTTCCAGTATATACACACCCAGATTTATTTTATAGAAATGTGCTTTAACGTGTATCTCTAATCCGTGGGTAGCTGCAGAAAAATTCTTTCAGCAATACACTTGTCTTAGTTTCTGTAGGTCCAATTAAAACAGTGGTCTCCTGGGAGATCTGTTGGGCAAGTTAAATTCAAGGCACAGAGGCTATCTTCTAGAAGGTTAGGGTGACTGGTTTTGAGTATTCTGATGGGGTAATTTTGATAGATTTCTTTAAAGGACTCAGGATGAGCATGGGGCTTATAATGAGGAAGTATTTTTAAAATGTAAAACTGCAGTGATGAGAAAGAGGTCAAGAGATTTACACTGAAGACTTTCTTTCCGTCATGACAACGGAGCTGGCCATGCCTTGGGAAGTGTACTAGGAAATTTCACTGGAACAACTTAGCCGCTCCACTCTAATTTTGCTTCTCCAGCCCTTTCCTCTTTTTTCTTGTTATCCAAATTCAAGGAATATTTCAAAGGCCTATAATGCCCTCAAGGATGCTAGAACTGCTGTTTAAAGGTGGTGTCCATTAAACAAAACCATCTGCACTCTTTGATATCTAGAATTCTTGGGGAAAAGTTCGAGCAATGGAAACACCACCCACAGGAATCTGTAGACCTAGATGGGGGAGATGTCAAAGAACAACAACTATGCATTTTGACATTTTTGTTTAATAAAGATTTCTATGATATTTGTGGCAATAATTTTGACTTCCCCTTGAATGATGCAACAATCCAGTAAAACCATTGTCCCAGATTACTTAAAGGTGGCTAGGAATTAAGTACCCTGCAGCTTCAAAGCCACTACTGACTACTGCTTAGCTCCTGGTAGGGCAAAGCCTTCTGTAGTATGTCTCAAGCTACTCTTAATATGCTCCGTGTTCCTTGGAGGTCAGGATGCATGCAGGTGTCATTCTTCTTCCTCTTCCTCTTTTTCTCTTCGTCTTCATCAAATATTGTAGTTTAAATTTGATTTCGCTGCTATTGCATACAGTACTATTAATGGTCTTGGGATATAGCATCTCCTATGGGTATGGTCAACAATCTGATTCTTGTCGTTTTAGTAGTTATTTCTGCCACAATTTTCCACATAAGTAAAGAGAATATATTCTTTACTTATATATACACTTGTATTCTTATCTGTCATTGATCCAATTTACTCATCTTTATTTTCTTTTTTGAACAGAGTGAAAAATCATCACACAAACACTCGAATATTGATCGTAATGCTCAATATTTCACAAGTAGAAAGTAAATTTTATCTATACCCATTTGTCTGCGAAGCCGCAAATTGGTTTGGCAAAAGTGCAGCATACGTCCAGTTGATACATCCAGGTAAACAACAAACGACTCGTCGGAAATGCACTTTTGTTTTCACGATGATTTTGAGATTCATCATTTGAAGTTCATTTCAGGCTATTGTCCCTGCCTGGAGTGTTCTATGCTTCCTCTTAACTTCCTTTTCGCTTCTCAGTTGAACTACTTCACCTTTGAAGATGCTATCTACCCTTAGCTCACTGCCCAAACAGGGGATGTTAGGGACCCTATTAGGAGCCCTAGTGGGGTAGTGGTTATGAACTGGGCTGCAAGCCAAGTCGGTAGTTCAAAACCACCAACCATTCTATGGGAGAAAGACAGGGCTTTCTACTCCCATAAATAGTGACAGTCTCAGAAACTCACAAAGGTAGTTCTACCCTGTCCTGTAGAGTCACTATGAGTTGGCATTGACTGATGGTAGTGAGTTTGGTTTGGGGTTTGGCGGGTCTGTGGTATACACTTCCAGAGCACCATATGTTCCCATTACAGGATCTTTCATACTTAGTTCTCTCTGCTGGATTGTCAATTCTGTGATCGTGCAGACAGTTTATCTTACTGTGTTCAGCTGGGTTGTGTAGAGAAATAAATCCAGTGGCACTCATATATGTATAAAAAAGAACTTTTTGTCTAGAAGTAATTTTATATGAAGAAAGCTTCCCAGTCCATCAGTCCCATACTCGCCAGCGCCCTCTTCAGACCCATCCCGTTGCAGACCAATGACTCAGGAAGGCGAAGTGGGATGCAGGAAGGTCCAAGGCTGGTGTCCGCACGGGGCTGCCCCTGGAGGCAGACAGTCTCACCAAGTACGAAGGCAAAGGGGTGAATAAGGAGAGGGAAGTTCCTAGCTTCTCCCTTATAAAAAGGCCACACCCCAAGGAGGCATCCTTCATTTATATCTTGGCTGACAAGTTGAATTCCACCCCTACACTTTCATACACATTCAAGTTGTCATAAACTCTAACTGCCACAGATAGTATTTCCAAAGCTAGTAGAAATTTAGGTCTGGTTCATTACAGGCACCTAATAAGAGTTAGAGGTA